ATATTACATGATGGTCCGCATTTACTGTGCACAGACTCACTTTAGGTGGTTACCTTTTACAGACAACAGAGGAGCCAATGCCACTAATCACATCACGGAAGAGGAATATTTGCAAATGAAAAGAGAAAAGTAGTTGAACTTGTTGCACTCATCCTTGAAAGGTTTAGCATGGATTCTAGGAAGTCACTCTGCAGTAAATTCTTGCTACAAATCAGGGTGAGGGAGTTTTAGCAAAAGCAATTCTCAAAGAGGCCTAGGTAACAATGCAGGCCTGATTCCCCACGGGAGAACCTATCCATGGGCATGGGTCCCGTGCATCTCCCAGTGGGAGCTGGGCCCCACGCCACACAGAACCGTCTCCTACAAGCATGTAGTGTGGTAATGGCATGTAGCAGGCTCTCCTATAAACAGTGACTATTATATCAACTGGCACCCTGTGACCAATAGATACTAATTACTCAAACACCTGTTGAGTGAAAATATATCAGTATGTTCTTGCCATCTTCCCAAGGCCAAAGGACCACTAAGATACCAAACCTGTACCCTCCAGATTGTTAGGGAGCCCAAGATGTACTGCCATAGTCAAAGAAATTGCACCATTTTTTGTTTGTTCGTTTGTTTGTTTGCTTTGTTTGCTTACTAGTCTTGTTACTTTCCAAGGGCTGCCATAACAAAACAACTCCTAGCTTAAAGTTATTTTCTTATAGTTCTAGAGGCTAGAAGTCCAAGATCAACCTGTTGCTAGGGTTGCCTTCCTCTGAGGCCTCTCTCCTTGGCTTGCAGATGACTCTCTTCATGTTCACATGGCTTTCTCCCTCTAGGTTTCCAGGTTCAAATGTCCTCGTATTGTGAGTACATCAGTCATATTGGATCAGGGCCCACCTAATGACCTCTTTTAAACTTAATTACCTCTTTAAAGACACTATCACCAAAGAGAGTCACATTCTAAGGTACTGGAAATTAGGACTTCCATATATGAATTTTTAGGGGGACATAATTCAGTAAATAACAGTCCCCTATGAGCCCCTCAAAAAACAGGAACTATAACTTAGTCTTTTTTCTCAGCATCTATTATGACTAGCAGAGTACTTGAAACACAGCAGATCCTCAAATTATCTGTGGGATACATAAATGAAATAAAGACCTTCTCAGAAGTATAGTCCATATCTGTGGAGTAAGTCCCCTTCTAAATCTGGTAGCCAGCACAAAGAAGAACATGGCTTTACTCCTGCCCTAAGAAAAGCTTTGGTCTGTCATGGTCTCTAGATAGCCCAATATCAGACAACCGTGTTTACAGGATCTAATACCTAGCAGAAAAATTTTTAAGTCCAGTCACCCAAAGCCAACTGACAATGCCTTCATCCCTCCAGATTTATTGTGATACTCCCAGACTGAGGGCATCCTTCAAGGCTAGAGTCAAAGTCAAGAGAAAAACTACACTGCTCTGCCTAAAGTACAAGGCACCAGCTTGGGAGAATGGCAATGTGGGCATCTGCCTCTTCCCTACCCAAAAGGAAACTTCCCCTTCACTGTTCTGTGTGATTCTGGTGGTTCTATCAATCATTTAGCTTACCTTCCCAGCTATCAAGATGGGCATATAACCTAATCAGTTGCCCTTCTATCCTAGGAATTTGAATCCTGAGCAAAGTGACATGAAGGCAGAAAATAATTGGAAGGAGTCCATTAAGCCAGTACCATGAAGGGTGCCTGGTTCACACGTCCCTGAAACAACCTTGGTTCTTGAGCTTCCCAAGGTTGGATCCACAGCCTTTGTTTCTGAGATCTACCTGTTAAGACTTGCAAAAAAAATCCATGTTCCTAAATTAGAAGGTGCTTATTACATATCTCTCAGAAAATCCTGACACATATAATGGCCCTAGAAGCAGGATGTGGCTAGTGGTAGACCTGACTATAGAAAGGGGAGCAGGTGGACCCCATTCGTGCCTGAGAAGTTGTGCTCATTATCTATGTTACATCATTACAAAGCAGTTAACTACACTACTCCCTTCTGTATTTTGGGATACACACAATCCACATGACTCTGAATTTTCTTATCAGCTTTCCTAAAGATTTAGAAAAAAATGGTTAAAAAAAAAAACCTGGCACCCTGGCCTGTATGGCTCAGGTAGTTAGAGTGTTGTCCCACAGATCAAAAGATCACAACTTTCATTCCCGGTCAGGGTACATGCCTAGATTGTGGGTTGAGTCCCCGGTCAAGGCTCATACAACAGGCAAGCAATCAATGTTTCTCTCTCACATCAGTGTTTTTTCTCCTTCTCTCACTCTCTCCTCCCCGCCCCCCTGCCCCGAAAATCAATGAGCCTGTTCTCGGATGAGGATTTTAAAAAGGAAAGAAAATACTGTTGTGTGGCCATTTCTGACAGCTTTGGTAAAATCCCAGAAACACTTAGCTTCAGCCAAGATAGCCTACCTGAATCAGAGAAGAAAAAGTTCTGCCTCACCTAGAGTGGCCCTTTCTCCTGGTCGAAATCCAAGATGCCAGAGAATCAGATAATCATAAAAAAATAAACTATGAACTCTGAATCACTGCATCAAGGATAATGCTAGAAAAACACAGGAAGGAAGAAAACATAGCAAAAGAGAAGACTGGGACTGAGGGAACCGGGGAAGCCTGGTCACCCAGGTACCCCCTGATGTACACCCCCTCCCTGGCAAAGAGCCAAGTGCTGGTATGAAGCCAGAGGATGAGGAACAAACTAGTGTTGCCTTTATTTCAGAGGCAAAAAAATAAGCTGCAAAAGTAAGGGCTGAAGAATGAGCAGGGCAGCATGGCCTAGTTCTAAGAGAAAAGTCCCCATGCTGGGACCCAGAGGCAAGGGCTGCCCCACAGAGTGGAAAATGCATGTAGACCAGTAGACTTAACTTGTGTTTAGCTGCCATAGAAACCTTGGAAAATAAAAACCTGTCACCTGTCATTCCCCCAGAACCAACTTCCAGGTACTTTAACCCACAAGAATTTGGAATGCTAATACAAATACACCCTCATTAGGAAAACTGTACCCAGTGTCCTCTGTTCATGGAATTCTTATGAGGCAAGAGAAAAATAGGAAAAGACTAACTCTGGAAAACAAGATTGAATGGTAGAGATTTCCTTGCGCTATACAATGAGAATGACTTCGATTTACAAATAATCTAAATCAAATAAGAATATCTCTCTCAAACTGCCTATGTGCTATCAATTTTTTAAAGATTTAATTTGTTTATTTTTAGAGTGAGGGGAAGGGAGGGAGAGAGGAGAGAACATTGAGGTGTGAGAGAAACCTCAATTGGTTGCTTCTTCTACAAGCCAGGGACCAAACTTGCAACCTAGGCATGTGCCCTGGCCAGGAATTGAACTAGCAACTGCTGCCTTTGCAGAACGAGGCCAAACCAAGTGAGTGATACTGGTCAGGGATTTATGCTATCAATTTATATGCTACAACACCTGGGAAGTTTGTTACGAAGAAAAGCCACTTCAAAAGGAGCTGCTGGTCGGAAATCCAAGTGCTCACCCACCTTCCTTGGTTAGAAGTGAGCTCAGATGCTGCAACACACTGGGTACCACCACTGTATCCACGGCAGTGGTTGCTAGAATGGTACCTCCGAGAGCAGTACAGGCATAAAGCATTCTTTTCTTGTATCTTCTTGGAACTCTGTCTCTCATAAGTAATGTAACCTACAGAGTATTTCTATTAAATAGCACAAAATCACTTGGAAGCAGGAAAAAATTTCCAATTCCATATGGCCAGGACCTGCCACTTACTTGCTAAAGAAAGGAGAAATGTAGTTCCCCAGACCCACTACATTTTCCCCTCACTGTCACTAACTACCCTGAGAAAATAGCCATTAGCAACAAACTACAAGGACTATTTGTGTTCTATGAGCAAAGGAAAAAACATAAAGTGGGTGGGGTCATGGATGAGTAAGGGCAGGCCCATAAGGATTCTGAAGATATTTTCACACTGATGAACACTAGGCTATCATTTGGCTTATTAAAATAGCGCTGGGTTGTGAGAGAAGCTGGCACATTTTCCTGGAGATGAGATGGCCCTGGGGGTTTGAACAAGAGTCAGAACACAGCTGCCATGGCTAAAACCAAGCAATACAGATGTCACACCAAAGTAATTTCATACTGTCCCACCTGCCAACTCAAAATGCCAATGGAAGAAGAGTATTGAAGGAAGTCTTTAAAATAGACTAGATAACTACTTTAAATACCAATTCTGTGTGTGACTAAAGATTTTGCTATTGATTGAGGACCATGAATGACAGTTGGTATAGTTTAGAGAGCTTAACAAAAATCTTACTGCTCAGGAAGATGAACACAATATAACGTCATGTTCTTAGCTTGGAACAACCATGTAAAATTCAAAGACTTCATAACTCCAAAAGCCTTTTTGAGAGAATGTCCTTCTAGGCATTTTTTTCCTTCAATGGTTGTTTTCCTTATAAGTAGTACTGTCTATTATTCTGCCTATTATTTCCTATGTTGTTGACTGATATACAAATGGCACACGTCACCACACCGCAGTACTCACCACCCTGAAGTATTCAAGTTTCAGCATTCCAGTGAAACTGGGAGAGCTAAGTCAGTGAAACTGGGAATAATGGAGAGAACACTGTGTACAGTATACGGCCGTCTAAGCACGATGCTGTACACTTGAAACTAATACAAAATAACATTAAATGTAAACTGAAATTGAAAAAAATTTTAATAAAAAATGTAAAAAATATCAGCACAGAGAGAGCCCTGAAAATATAACTATTGTATAAATAGTGGTAATAAAATGAATTTTTAAAAGGAAGGAAGGAAGGAAGGAAGGAAGGGAGGGAGGGAGGAAGGGAGGAAGGAAGGAAAGAAGGAAGGGAGGGAGGGAGGGAGGGAGGAAGGAAGGAAGGAAGGAAGGAAGGAAGGAAGGAAGGAAGGAAGGAAGGAAGGAAGGAAGGAAGGGAAGTCAGAGGAAAGGAACACCCCATACACACACATAAAAACAACTTACCAAATGCTTTCTTAGGTTCTATTAACTTCAAGGTAAAGAATTCTTCCTTTTTTAATTCCTTTAACTTCTTAGCAACCTCAAAATGACGCCAGCCAGCAATATTTTCTCCATTTATACATTCAATGTGATCTCCCACACAGATAGTTTTAACTGAGTCAATTATGCTGCCATCTTTAATTCTCTAGAAGAAAATTAAGGATAACACTTAATATAAAATAGAACTGCATAACATTACTTTTCATGTTCTTGAGGTTTTATATACAATACATTAACAAATTAACAAAGCAGTTTAATGCTCACTTTGAGATGGAATACTGAGTAGAAAAGACAACTGTCTTCTCCCAACCATTCTTCCTTATCATCCATAATTCAGCTCCATCAGTCAACAGATCCTCTGAGAAGCTTTTCCTGACATCGCTCTCAGCCCCCACTTAACCAGGATTAGTTAAGGTACCATGCTTCTATAATACTTCTTGCTACATATGCTTGAGCTCTAAGCTAAGCACTTTACATTTACTATCTCATTTAATTTTAACAACTTTAATGAGTGTCTCAGGTCACAGATCAGGAAAATTGAGGCTTAGGAAGATCAAGTTGTTTGCCAAGTTCAACATTACCACAGTGCAATTGTTCATTTACCTCTCAGGCTCCATTACTGAACTGTAATATCCTTGGGGAAGGAGATGGTCTTTTTTACCATTGTAAGCCCTGTATGTAGCACAATGCCTGCAGAGAAAAGTCCCTCCACAAATGATTATTGAATCATTTCAGCATGAAGCCCATTACATGAGAAGAGAGCTTGAGCTTTTTCTGCTGGCTATATTTTTTAAACCTTAGTTACAAATGCAGAGACTCAAGACTTAGTAGAACTTAGCTAAAAAAAATTGATACCTAATAAAAGACAGGTGGGTTCCCATTTGGGAGGCCAATAAGAATGATTTTATACTATCATTTCACATTTATATCTTTTAGGTGAGAAGAACTTTCACCTAAGGAGAAATTTCAAATTGATTTTTTAAAAATCTATCTGAGTTGTGTACAATACACCTCTATTGCAGTTTCAAAATGCAGCCTAGGACTCTCTAAGACAATACTAAGAATTTCTGAAGGAATTTGAGGGCCAGGAACTCCAGAAGACTGCACAAGTGACAAGTCTGCAAAGGATGCACAAGTTCCTGCACAGAGATAAGAAATGGAGCAAAATGAAGGCCACGATCTGCCTCAGGTGTCACAAATCCTTCAGGGGAATAATAGGATGGAAATATCAGCAGCTGCTGCTACTATGTGACAAAAATACGTGTATTCCCCACTCTTGCTAGGAGGAAGAATGCTATCTGAATCATCAGCTCGACGGACCACTGAATCCAAGAGTTAAGAGAAGAACTGATTACACGTACCCCAGCACCTTCATAATATTGCAAAAAGAAAATAAAACCTTGTAAAATACTAACTTGGGAAGGATGGGCATTTTTTAATTTTGAATTTTTATTGTTAGTATTCCAAAACTCACAATAGGTTCTTTTCATCCCCAAATGCTATGTTCACTGTATAGTAACTACTAATATGCTTTACGCCAACAACACAAGAATGCCCATTCAAACAGAGCTTACCATTCATCATTACAAATAGTGAATTATAAAGCAAAGAAACCAGAAAGTTCATAATCGAGCAGGCACTGTTGTAATATAAGTCCATATCAGCCTTAGCCATGAAACAAAAAACAGTAAGCACAACGCATGACTCACAGAAACACAAGCGAGGTCAAATACAACATTAGAGTTCAAAGTAACAAAGAAAACAAATCTGTAATATTCTGTCACCCGACCACTCTTAAATCATTTGAGAATGTGAAAATTTGTAACTCTAACTTTCTTCTCAACTTTTATTCTATGACTTGATATAGCCTGAACATATTTTTATTCAATCAACTACACCATGCAAATTTCAGTTGCACATATTATTTTTCATTTAAGACATTGTTATAATTTTATTGAAAATAAACATTAAATAAAAGTAATTAAATGGAAGACTTTAAAGACATGCACGAATCTTACCAGTCAATTAAAAGGCAGATTCACAAAAATCCAGGTTCACCTGCACCTGTGAGTAGCCACAAAAGGCACCAAGAGTAGTTCCCAGGCAGAGGGAGGAAAGGCAGTTACCAGAAGTGGGCAGGCAGCAAGGTGAGAAGCCAGGTGGGCAAGAGAGAAGTCAAAGCGTATGTAATCATCAGGGGCAGCAGATAAGGATCTGGGATGAAGAGACAGGAAAGTCGACATAATGACTTGGAGAAGAGCACTACAAGGTAAACCAGATGCAGAGGCCAAGGGGGAGACGTTGATTATATATCTGGTAGGTTACCTGCGCCTTAGCTTCCTAAGTAGATAAAGAATGAATGCACAAGTTGAGACAAATGTCTGAAATCTAATATACTTTGATAATTATATAATAACTTGATAGAAATTAATACTATTGTTAAAAGTGCTACTCAGGCACAAAGGACTAGGAAGGCAAAAAAAAGAGGCATTATCTCTATACTTGTATTTACTGAGTCACTTAATATCTTTCTCTATAACACTTAGAACTTTCTTTCATCTGACTTTAGAGACTGATGCCAAAAACGGCACAGAAAAGCCCTGGCTGGAAGGCTCAGTTCATTGGAACATTGTCCAAAACACTGAAAGGCTGTGGGTTCTTTTTCCAGTCAGGACACATACCTAGGTTGGGGGTTCAACTCCTGTTCAGGGGCATAAGGGAGGCAATTTACCCGTGTTTCTCTCATGTCAATGTTTATCTCTCTCTCTCTATTTCTCTGCGACTCCCCGCCTCCTGTCCCCAAATCAATGGAAATACCCTCAGGTGAGGATTTAAAAAGAAAAAAAGGCAAAGAAGAAGCCATTAAATATGTTTTGGAAAATAAGCATTGACAACATTATTAAACTTAGAAGTCCCCAACCATTTCAGACCATGATTACAGTACCTTCCATTATTTCATTCCTTATATGCACAGAACTCTGCCTTCACATCACAGATACCAGCAGAACTCCAAGGTGGCATCCCACTGACCCCAAAGTCTTAGCATTAGATTCAAAGTTCTTTGAGCTGCGTGCGCCACAGCAATGGTTAGAAACTCTGAGATCTGTGCTGCTGACCCTCCCAACACTGACCTCAAACCATGTTCATAATAACAAACTAACATTCACACACCAAGTGTAAGTAATTATTTGATTTAGTCCTCACAACTTGCCTAGGAGAAGAGTATTTAATGTTCCATTAGTGAATGAGAAAATCAAAGCACAATGACACATGGCCTAACCAAAATAACACAGCTAATAAACAGCAGAATTAGGCTTCAAATGGAGGTGGTATAATTGGAAAATGTATGCTCTTTCCATAAAATACTCAGCTTCAGATAGATCTAACTAACCCAAGACCAAATGCCTAGTTAAAAAAATAAAAAGACAAGAGAAAAAGAAAAGTCAGATGAGATGACCTCATGAGAAGAATTTTGGGTTATAGCTGTCCAAAATGACCTACCACTTCAGCAATCATTTTGCAATATACAAGTGTATCAAATCAATACACTCTATACCTTAAACTTACACAATGTTGTATGCCAATTATATCTCAGTGAAACTGGGAAAGCAAATGACCTATCACCTCTGAACTCTGAAAACTCTTTTTTGACAACCCCTACCTTTCCACTTCTCATTTGCTTACTTCTACTAAAGCTGTTATTTGCCTCTCTCATGGCTTCCAGTTCTCAAACATCCATTTTCCCAGATTACCTCTTCTGCTCAGGCTTTACATGCCTCTGCTCACAGATCCTAGCTTCCATCCTGGAATCCTCTGCCCCTTTGAACTGTACATTTCCAACCTTGCTGATTCTTAGTTCTGGATAATGAAGTTTTCAAAAAGTTAGAAATATATGAAGTACTGCCCTGGCTGGTGTGGCTCAATAAATTGAGTGCCAGCCTAAGAACCAAAGGGTCTCAGTTCAATTCCCAGTCAGGGCATATTTTGGGTTGTGAGCCAGGTCCCCAGTAGGGGATGTATGAGAGGCAACCATGTACTGATGTCTCCTTCCCTCTCTTTCTCCCTCCCTGCCCTTCTCTCTAAAAATAAATAAATAAAATCTTTAAAAAAGAAAAGAAATGAAATACATGAGTACCATATTCCTTGGAATAAAGATCATGCTAAATGTGATTAACTCAGTTCTACTATAGTAAAAGTACCCCAGATCATAAAGATTTCTATAAGAAGATAGTCTGAGAATGACAGTTTTGTGGTTTTTTATAAATTATTTAATTCAAAGTAAACTTGGTTTTCTAAGTCAATTAAGTCTAATTTCTTAAGTACATGGTATAAGTTCTTATTTCTGTTTTGAATCAAAATATAAGTCTTCTCTTAAACTAGAAGTCAGCAAACAATGGGTCACATAGCTACTTTTTCTATACAGCCCATGCACTCTGAGTGATTTTTACCTTTTTATATGGCTGGGAGAATAAAAGAACAATTGTGACGTGTGAAAAGTGCACTAATTCAAACCAGAGCACCCATAAAGGAGAGCAGCACGTGCACCGTTTCAGTGCTGTGTGCCGCCGCTCCTGTGACGCAGTGGCAGAGCCCGGCAGGTGCAGCAGAGATTATGACGAAGCCTGAACTGTTTACCATACAGCCCTTTATAGAAGACGTTTGCCAACTCCAGTCTTAAAATGTTTAAGGAATTTACAGATTTTGTTCTTCAAATAAACTCAATTTACTGATTGACTCTTATACTTTTTCCTGGGAAATGCTGAGACTTGAATACTAAAATCACAAATGTTTAAGTCTGTTGTCTTTTCACCTGAACAGTTTCACCTGCGAGGGCCATGTAATACTATGAAATACATTTTTCTGCATTGATCTCATCTCCTAATTATGTGATGATTTGTCATTATTGCTATTATTAAAGTATCAGCTATGTATTTTGAGTACTGTAAAACATTTCTCTATGTCATCATTTTTACCCAAATAATCCTACAAAGAAGGTGCTAATATTCTCATTTGAGAGAAGGTATAGAGAGGTTTAATGACTGGTCCAAGGTTACACAGCAAGTTATTAAGTGGTTGAACCTAGACTGAAAACAGGCCTGCCTGACTCTAACGGCACACTCCTACGCATCACACTGCACTGCCTTCCTAATCATGGAATCCTCTCTCTTCACTGTAGCCTCTCATCTGAAGCGTTAGCACAAGCTCTACTCCTACTTCAGCCTACCCTAACTTCCAGCCACAGCCAAAGCAAACCAAGTACTCACTTCAGCAGCACATATACTAAAACTGGATCTATACAGAGGAGACTGTGCATCATCCTTGTTCAGGGACCATGCTAAATTCTTGGAAAGTCCCTTTTTATCTGCTTATCTTGGCAAAAAGAAACTCTGGAATGGTAAACCAGTAATAAATGAAATTGATTACTTCTAAGGAGTGGGGGGAAATGAGTAATGGGATAGAAGAGATAGGGGAAAAAGAAACACATCTCTAAATATATCCTTTACTATAGTTTTAATTTTTGAATCATGATAGTATTTTACATATTGAGAAAAAAACAAGTCAACAAGAATGAGGAATAACTCAAACTTGATTCAGAAAAGCAACAGGATTCAACAGTATTTCAAATGAGTAACAATCATAGGGAGAGGAAGCATATAATTCCAGGTAACCTTTGAATAGAATACTTACATTATATACATACATTTACTCTAAAAATAACAAATACATACAAATCTTGAAATCTTCTTAACAAATTTATTTTGCATAGTATATATATAGCAACTCTAAAACTATTTTGTGTATATTGTAGGGCTAAGCAAATGAGTAAATACTTAAATGATTTTGAAAAGTAAATTATAGGGAAGCCAATAAGAACCCTGTGGTGCAGGAATATAATTGGAAGTGTAATAAAAAATTCATAATTTCTAAAATGCATGGTTTCTTTATTTTTAATTTTTATTTTATTGATTATGCCATTACAGTTGTTCTATTCCCCCCTTCATTCCCCTCCACCCTGCACCTCCCCACCCTCACCATTCCCCCCCTTTAGTTTATGACCATGTGTCTCAGGTTCTTTAGATTCTATATTTCCCATACTATTCTTGCCCTCCCCCTATCTATTTTCTACCTACTGTCTATGTTACTTATTTTCTGTACCTTCTTGCTCCTTCTCCTCCTCCCATTCCCCTGTTGCTAACCCTCCATGAGATCTTCATTTCTATGGTTTCGCTCCTGATCTAACTGTCCTTTTAGTTTGCTTTTGTTTTAGATGTGGTTGTTAATAACTGTGAGTTTGCTGTCCTTTCACTGTTCATCTTTTTTATCTTCTTTTTCTTAGGTAAGTCCCTTTAACATTTCATATAATAAAGGCTTGGTGATGATGAACTCCTTGAATTTGATGTTATCTGAGAAGCACTTTATCTGCCCTTCCATTCTAAATGAAAGTTTTGCTGGATAGAGCAGTCTTGGTTGTAGGTCTTTGGATTTCATGACTTGGAATACCTCTTTCCAGCCCCTTCTTGCCAGTAGGGTTTCTTTTGAGAAATCTGCTGATAGTCTGATGGGAACTCCTTTGTAGATGACTGTCCCTTTATCTCTTGCTGCTTCTAGGATTCTCTCCTTCACTTTAATCTTGGGTAATGTAATTATGATGTGCCTTGGTGTGTTTCTTCTTGGGTCCAACTTCTTTGGGAATCTCTGAGCTTCCTGGATTCCCTGGAAGTCTATTTCCTTTGCCAGATTGGGGAAGTTCTCCTTTATTATTTGTTCAAATAAGTTTTCCACTGGTAGCTGTTCCTTTCCACCTTCTGGTACCCCTATAATTCGGATGTTGGAGCATTTAAAGATGTCCTGGAGGGTCCTAAGTCTCTCCTCATTTTTTTAACTTCTTGTTTCTTCATTCTTTTCTGTTTGGTCATTTTTTTCTTCCTTCTGGTCCACTCCCTTGATTTGAGTCCCAGTTTCCTTTTCATCACTATTGGTTTCCTGTGCAATTCCATTCATTTCAATTAGTTTAGCCTTCATATATTCCTCTAATTTGTGACTATAATCAACCAGTTCTGTGAGCATCCTGATCACCAGTGTTTTGAACTGTGCATCTGAAAGTTTGGCTATTTCTTCGTCACTTAGAGTTATGGGCTCTGGGGCTTTGAGATGTTCTTGAGCCATTTTTGGTCTATTCGCACCTGTTAAGTATGAGGAGGGGAGCCTTAGGGGCGGGGTGGGGTAGGGCCACCAGGGCAGGGTGGCTGGGTTGTGATGCTGTATGTGGGGGCGGGGTCAGAGTGGGGAAATGGCTAAAATGCATGGTTTCTGACCCTGCCCTGAAAGGACCTGAAACAATGACACTCCAGTAGCAATGAGTGAGTAAAACTAGCATCCACCTCTCAATTTTGAAATATCAATCCTCACAAAAAAACAAGACGATAAAAGAGCTCCTAGAAGAAATGGTTGATTCCAGACATGGGGAAAAGAATATTTAAGATGAGTCTAGAACATCTTGTGCCAAAAGGAAGGAACTGTTGACTAAAATGACAGGCGCCGTGTCAAAAGGAGAGAGGGGCCAGCGGAAAGGGACTCCTGCAGAAAGGAGAGCAGAAAGACTGCTCTCAGAAAATCTCAGCCCCAAAATAAACAATGAAAGTGGCCTGTCACCCACTGAATAAAATAAGAAATCATGTGTCCTTGTTGATAATAGATAAGCAAATAAATAAGTGGAGTGCTTCTTTCAATAGAATGTTTTAAAAGAAATATATATGGAATGATGGAATTAGAAAAAATTGCCATTTTCCAATCATTATAATAAAAACTGACTCAGGCAAGACTTATCAGTAGATGAGAAATCTGTGGGGTACAAGTAAAAGAACAGGATACTTTCATAATCTCAAAGCATCTCCCCACAGATTGTGACAAAGGAAAATGTAACTCTGCAGTGAATAGATTGGCAGACACCACCTTAGACAAGTGGCAAAAATTAACATCGTAAGTGAGACAAACCAGCATAATGTACCTTCTGATGTACTACAATGAGAAGGACACAGCATGACTTATCCACTTTTCTTGCCAGGAATGTGCGATCTGTTTTTCAACATGAGGAAAAATCAGAAAAGCTCAAATTGAGAGAATATTCTACAAAAGGATGAGAAACTTTTCTACAATAAAGACAATAAGGAGACATGACAATTAAATGAAATACACGATCCTACATTGGACCTATACTGGGGGGAAATGCCACAGATGAAATTATTAGGACAACTGATAAAATTGCAATTGGACATATTAGATTAGTTTAAAAGCATTATATCACTGATAGACTTCCTGAATTTCATAGTTGTACTATAGTTATATATAAGTGAACATCTTTGTTCTAAGTAACTACATTCTAAAGTATTAAGGGATAAAGAGATGATTAATGTAGGCAATCAACTTTTTCAAATGGTTCAGAGAAAATTATATATATATATGTGTGTGTGTGTGTGTGTGTCTATGTGTGTATATATACCCACAATACGTGTGTGAGAGAGAAGAAAGCAAATGTAGCGTATGGTAGAAACTAGAGATCTGAGTGAAGGGTTTTATGGAAATTCTTTATGTTATTATTACATTCTTCTAGCAAGTTTGAAATCATCTCCCCTTCAACTTTTAAAGAATCCTATCAACCACATACACACTATTATATTCATTTCTCTTCGAAGCTGAACTATATGTCGGCAGCCGAGTTTACACATCACATCCCCTTGCCACCACGTTCTCTGTCTCCACATGGCTAGTGACTAGTTCTCTGAGGCAGGCACATGTTTGACAAGGCATAAAAAAATAGAAACATGAGCTCTGAACATCAGAGGCTGAGATCTGGAAAATCCATGTGTGTTGGCAACACTTCCAAGGCCTTCCCTGCTGACATTAGAAAGGCATTGCTGCGTGTACCTCATGTCCTGAGCTTCCCCTAGATAGTCCCACATGTCTTTCCAACTCACAGATTTTCCATTTGGTCACCCACTCAACCTTCAGCACAGTCATATCTTTTGCAGAGCTAAAAATACCCATTCTATCAAATGGGAAGTTAAATAAGGTACTATTTACAGTTAAGCAGATGACTCCCCTGAGACTTTTTTTTTTTAACAATGACAATGCTTCAGCAAAGCAAGGATTCGGACAAAATAAAGGCATGAAACCATGCTCTGTTGCATGAAGTTTATCACTTATTCTTAGCTCAGTAGTAGGATGGCCAACTCAAGTCAGATCTCTTAGATTCAAACCCTGAATCTGTCCAGCTGCACAATGCTGAGCAAGCTACTTAAACCTCCTGATCCTGCTTTCCACATCTGTAAATTAGAGGCTGATAATAGTGTCTACCCATGGAGGAATCTCAGACCTTATGTTGAAGAAAAGAAGCCAGAAACTGTAGAATACCTAATGTATGATTCTCCCTACATGAAGCTCAAAACCAAGCAAAAAGTATGACGATAGAGGTCAAAAGAGTGGCTACCTTTGTGGGGAAGAACAGTGGCTGGGAAGGGGCACAAGGGAGCTTTTTGGTGGCAGATAGGAAATTTTCCTTAGTTTGGGTGCAAATATATAAACATTCATTAAGCTGTTCATGAAAAATTTGTTACACCTCAACAAAAAAGTAAATGAAATAAAAATCATAGTACCAACCAAGTAGAACTACCTCGTACATGTAAGTCAGTGTTCTTACAGCTACTTGTCACAATAGTAGAACTGTTAGTTTTAACATAGTGACCTACCGACCTGCAAGAGCTCAGGTGGATAAAAAGTAGGCACTGGGGCCAGCTTTTCAGTAAGTTCTAAATTCTACAGGAAGTTGAAACTGAACAGAATTTCAAGAAAAGGGTAAACCAGAAATGACGTTTTTAAAACATTTTAAAATGAAACCTCACCAATCTATCCATCCCTCCTGAGCTGACTCTCACTCCAAAGACCATTGGCAACTTTCCTTGATCAGGTAGATTTTTCTCAAATGTTACCCTCAGTTAGGTCACGCAGTTATTTTTTAAGACTTACCTTAATAAAAGCATAGCCAACACCATTATCTGTAATGGTGAGACCAAGTGCATCCTCAGATTTATACACACTCACTTCTTTTTTTATCCCTTTCACATGGGCAAATATAAAATCTTCAAGACCTATTTGTGATCCTAAGAGTTTTTCCATGTCAACTTTCGGTGTGTTTAAAGTGCAATATAAGATCTGCAAGGAGAAAAAAATATTTTAGGTCAGTTTCCATAAGGAAAATGTTCTAGTTATTAGTTTGCTTAATAAATATTTGAGTAAAATAGTCCTTGATTTATTATATAAGAAGTTCATCAATAAAGTACAGCACAGGAAATGTAGTCAATAGTGTTATGGTGATTAGGGAAGTTGCCAGGTGGGTGCTGGAAATGTCAGGGGAAACAATTTGTACGGCATGTGATCATCCAGCCACTCTGCTGTATGCCTGAAACTAATACAAAAATAACATTAAATATAAACCGTAATTTTTAAAAAGGTTACATCAGAAACATTAGGTAATATGTATTGTTGCCCGTAAGCCAGGCTCTGTGCTAAGCAATTTACATCCATTATCTTATGTAATCCTCACAATAACTTTATAAATACATTATCACCTCCACATAACAGATGGGGAAATGGAGTCTTAGTGAGAGTAAATAATTTCCCTAAGGTCACTAAGCCAGTACCCGTCAGTCAAGATTCAGTTCAGGTCTCACCAACTCCAAAGTGTGCTAAGCTCTGTTACCTCCCATTTATGATGCTGAAATCAAAGGTCGTGTTCCCAGAGGTAAGGTCATGCTATGTATCCTGCAGTGAAAATCCAGGCAAGACTATTTTTGAAAACAGGTTAAAAATTTAATGAGGAAAACGTTATTTATCTTGCATTATACTGCTTGAGAAAAGTAATTTAATTCTTGAATGAGATGCTAAAATGAAGATGTCTAAACTTGACTAAAGTGGGCCTTAAAGACTAACTACTCCAATCTCTTAATTCTGAAAAGGGGGAAACTGAGGTCTGGAGAGCTTAATGCAACTTGTCAAATTCACACCAAAGTAGGGAAAGAATAAAAAACTGGATGTGGGAAAGTGCAGAGATTTTTAAAGGGACTTCTTATGGTTACCAAGTCTTTATTTGACCTCATTCTCCTTCAAAAATATGATTCAATTTACTAAATTCTGCAGTGCTACTTTCAAGTCTGTCAACCATAATTTGGGCAATTTGTGGGCCCAAATACAAAATTTGGAAGGAGAGAAGGAAGGTTGAAAATATGGCATTGATTTAGAAATATAGTTCAACAAACATTTATTACCTTTCATGTACCAAATCAAAGAAGGCCATCTTAATAGTGCTGTTTTATACCAAAATGACTAAATGAAAAAAAATTTTTACTTCTTTATTAAGTAATATTTGCCACAAATATTTGTTAGTCCTTCCTCCATCCTTGAGCCTTGCTTCAACTCTCTCCCTACATTTCCAAGTTTCACAATCTTCCCAGTTCCTGGGCCTTGATATACCCATGAATCTCAGAAGCCTCATGAATCTCATAAATGGTATAATTACTACTTATCCAGTGGCTTTTTAAGTTACATCAAAATATATCTGAATTGCAACAGCTGTCCCTGCTATACAATTAAAAGTCCAGCATGGTCAGTGTAGTTCTGACCAAACCCCATGGGTGTGTGAAAGAAGCTAGTGATGAGGTCTAGAAAGAGGCCTGCAGGATGCAAGCAATAAATGCCTGGAAGGAAAAACTACTGCCCCCGCCCTTTCCCCTTTTCATTCACATCTGGGAGCTGTGCTAACTGCTCGGCCTTTAAATTTAACCCTTTGTGTTCTCAGGGAAGGCATGATGTATTTGATTTTGTTGTTAGTAAGTTTTTGCGAATGTTCTCTAGTGTAAAAATTGTGTTATTCACAGAAAAAGTCATTTAATCCAAGAATGGCTATCTCTTATTTTAACGGTAAAATCAATGTGTTAATTAGTCCATTAACAAAGATCATTGATAATGGGTAGAGTGTGAAGGGAGTATGCATAGAAAACAGCTTTTCCTGACTTCCTTTCTCAAAATCATGAGAAATTAGTAAAGAAATAAACATAGTTTTCTTTTTGTTTTTTATAGTTAATCTGTTAATGGTATTCATAGTGGATCCAAAACACCACTAATATAAAAACAATTTACTAGGTAGACAAGAAATAAAACACTAAAACATACTGATAATGTAACAGAGCAGGCAGCAAAACCCAAAAAGGAAATTCCACGCAAAGTGGAATTGTAGTTATTAAGCTACTTCCTTTCTTTCCACTTTTCATATGCTTCACTGCAAAGTAATTAGATTTCCTGTAGATATACCCCTTTTCCATTGTGCTTCCTCTCCTGCAAAATAATGTTTCATTCCAGGTAGCCAAAAGTTGGCAGGCAAGGCTTCGTTTTTTCTGGAAGAAAGAGCGGAGCCAGCTCTGCCCTTCAGGGAATGGAGCTCCACAGAAGCTGTGTTGAATACCTTCAGGAATGTAATGGTCCCTGGGAGGTGGCGTTAAGAGCCAGCCCTCTGCAGCAGCAAGTCAAGAAAGCTCCATAGCTTCAGATCAACTCTTCACAGAAAAATGAAAGCCTAACACTCACACAACCTCAGTGCACAACTATCAGCAAACCAAATAGATCTGTAACTCTGTGATAAAGGTCTAGACATCCAAATACATCTTCTGTACAGTATTTTGAACTGAAAAATAAGTGATTTACCACTTTCTGAATGTTACAAAGTTGGTGCTCACTCATCTACTCCCCAATTACCTATTGGACACCTGCCTTTTGCCAGGTTCTGGGCTGCACTCTGGATGCACAAAGATGAGTGCGACCAGCCCTTATATGCAAGGAGCTGCCTGGCTGGCAAATGCTCCGGTGAGGTAGCGTGAGGCAACATGAGACAGGTGTAAGATATCAAAACCCATGAACATGGATAAACCAAGGGAAACTCAAATACATATTGTGAACTTTCCCACCTTCATTTATACATCTCCTTCAATCCAAAATCTAAAATGCCTGTCTGCCCGATCCACTCCTACGCCCTTGTCCATCAACATGCTGTTCAAATATGGCTGCCCAGGTAGAATCAATCAGTCTTTTTACTTTTCTCACATTAATTAAATCTAGTACCTCATTCAAGTGTCTGAGTCCCCTTTCCTTGAAGTCCAGTTGGTGTAACACATATTCATCACTCTTACTCTGAGACATAGGAGATGTTTGTCATCTTTCTCTCTCCTGCAATGGCTAAGAGTACTCTGCTCAGTTTATGTCAGAATGGCACTGTAAACACACATTCACTTATGTCATTTAATGCAGCATACCCTGTGTACTAGGTTCTGTTATCTTCATGTTGGGGAGAAGAAAACTATGATTTTACACAATTAACACTGATAATAATGTTTAACATTAAAATATTTATATTTAAAAATAAGAAAAGGAATAGTGAGGCAGTCATATTATCAATGTTCCTTTAAAAAATATTTGCCACCAGAGAATAACTATACTACATAGAAGGCAGTAAGATGCAGTACTTAGCATTGCTTTTAATACTCTCTGGTGAACAAACTAAAGCAAAAGAAAGTAAACTCAAGACAAGGTGTACAGGGAAAAAGACCCATCTGTTACATAAACACTTTCTAATGTTTTCATTGTAAAATGTAACCCTTAAATCTTCTGGGGTATCTACATTTGGTGCTTTACCAACGTCATTGCCAATTTTCATAAGATAGAGCACCCACTGATACAGAGATCTGACGACATCGCTGGGATGGAATAGGAAGGGGCTGTTGGAGGAACTCGTCCGGGCAATGGTAAACAGCCTAGGACAGGATCGGCTGAGAAGCTGAATGCCTCCAGAGCACAAGAAGTTATGGGCTAGAGAAGATTTGAAATACAAGAAGGCTCTTGGGCTCTCTCGCTCACTGGCTCTCTCTCTGCTTCCTCAAGGATGTCTGGGTGATCATGCTGCAGCAGCCCAAGCTTCCCAACAGACAGTATTTTGGATGGGAAGGAACTCTGGGTGCAGCCTAGGATCAGGTTGGCCTGGCAGAGGGTGGCAGGGTTATTCTTCTCCGGGTGTTGAAAACAGGCTCTGAGGCAGAAGCCTGCCATTCTGAAGTTGTGTATCTTATCTTGTTTTAGTTTGTAAACTAACCCTATAGAAATAAGATAATTAAAAACTAACAGAGGGAAATGACAGGAGAACTCAGGTGTTAAAGAGGTTAGTCTTAATTGGCAGGCTTGAGTGATACACGTGGAAAGCTGTTATTCCAAAATTGTGAAGCTTTTCAATAAAGACTCCTTTCCTTTACTACCAAACTCTGTCTCTAGAATTCTGCCTAGAGGGTGGCAGCGGGCAGCGGGACCCCACTTGCCATTCAGTAACATCACGACTGTTCAATTTTTTAAAGTAGCACTGCCCAATAGAAATGTAATGCAAGCCCCATACTTTTAAGTGTCCTAATAATCCCATTAACAAAAGTAAAGAAACAGGTTAAGTTAATCTAATTTCCTTAGTTATATAACACTATATATCTAAAATATCATTTCAACTTATCATAAATGTGGAAATCGAGATAGTTTACATTTCTATTAAGTTTTTAAGATCTGGTGTGTATTTACCCTTACACCCTATGCTCCATTGGAACGAGATACATTTATCCATATTTGGGTAGCAGCTACTAGACCAGGCAGCTCAGTTCTAGAATTTCTGTCTTTATCAATTTTATACTGCACATTTTTTTCTATCTCCACATAACCACATGTCATTCCCTTGGCCAAAAATGCCATAGCTTAAATATAACCTCCAAACCCAGTTTGTTTGTGTCAAAAAAATTTTTCCCATCCAATAAAGTCTAGTTAAAATACTACATTTTCTGCTACTATCACCATAGGCTAACATTACTTTGTCATCTTCTATATACCTATTAAACTTCATACATCTTTTGGGGACTTGCCATATGCTCCTTTGTATACTTTAGTAGGTAAAGATTTATCTTATTGTCTTCTTTGTCTTATTGTGTGCCTTATGTACATGAGAAATGGACTGATGGGAGGAGAAAGCGACTGCCCTCTGGGGCCACACGGCAGAGGGCCAGCGACATTAGGAGAGAGGGAGTGGCAATTAGGCTGACACATCGCACAGAGCAGAGCCCCCAGATACAGGGTGTTAT